GGGGGGGGGGGAGGATGTGTGTGCGCGTGTGGGTGTGGACTTTGTTCTTCCCCCCTCATCCTTACTACGGCGTAGGTAGATACCTTTACTATATGGCATCATAATTGGGGGTTGGTTCGTTCCACCTGGCAGCTTGCTGAATCACCAGGAAACCTACGTGAGTGATTCCTCGAAAGGTTACAAGAGCTTATCAGAATCCTCATCCTACAAAGCGGGAGAGAAGAAACACCTATACCCGTAGGCTATCTTTTCATGCCAAGGAGGGTTGGAATTTGAAGCTATGCGAGTCATGACCCGTGTGTGCTGCGGCGGCGGCGGCGGCGGAGGATTTCCGTTTATAACCCACGTTGAACTTGCGGCCCGGCCTTGAGGGTTATTCCTGTTCTTTCGTCCGGGCATTTCCTTTTTTTTTTATGGATTTTTGTTTTAGGGCGATTTTGTGGGTTTTTCTTTGTTGCGGTGCTTCGACACGAGGTACGTACGTATTGTGCTCGTAGATAGTCGATGTTATTGCCATATGTGTGTGTGGGGGGCTTTCCATGTGGGATCGGTTTTGGCGAGTTTACAGCAATGAGGTTTAGAGCGACATATACGAAGACGCCATACGCCATATTGTGGCGTGGGCGGATAGCGGGATGGGGCTTAAGAGGGAAGGGGAGAATGAGAAGCGAAGAAGTGGAGGAGGAGGAGGAAAAGCGACAGGCATGCTTTAGTTGTATCGGTGGAAGTATCATCAATATCAAACTGGCAGAATGTTCAATTAACCTTCTTGGTGGATGTTCTTGTGTACTTGATGCCTTGTTGAAGTTTCCCGCTTGTATTAACTGATAGATATATATATACTATATAGTGTATGAGAATGAGTTGTAAATATATCGACAATCAGTATTCTCCAGCTTGCCATGAGCTCTGCTCTTTTCTTAAGTGCTCGCCTTCTCTATAGTGTCATCTATCTCAAATCCCACAAAGTACGGAGTAGAGGGACGAGACTTTGGTATGCGACTTTATGCGACTTATGCGACTCGGAACATTATGGGCTGCGTCGCGTGGTGTACCACCAGGGATATCCTGGCATAATCAACAACTGCCTACTTGAGACAAACGACAGGGGAGAGGGGGCATGAGGTCGGCGAAAGAGAAACAATTCGAGTTCCCACTACGTAGGACCCTTGCACTCACTCAGTGCCCAGTCGCCATCCGATCCTGACGGAATCCTGGACAATGACCTGGTAGCATGACTGACCTAATCGCCTTCAATCCCAGGATTATCCTGGAACAGGACCACGATGCGCATGACGGACAGAGACCAGCCATGCTCCTCTAACTCGCCACTACCCTATAGTGAAACTCCGACGTCTGCTTTGAAAGATCTGACTAACCTGCAGGTAGGAGGCCACCCGCCCACTGTCGGACGCGAGAAACGACGATCGAAATGCGCATCCTTCGAGCCTGGGAGGAGCCCAGACTGGACGGCAAAGCAAGCCGTCTATGTCTTTTGCCACGACCCGGCTCAGAATACCTTGCTCCTCGAGGGGGCTGCGATGGCCTGTCGTCTGTCCGGAACCTGAATCTAGCTTGAGTCGAAATCCTTTCTTGCTCGAAGCCACTGATAGCTCAAACCAACGGTGTGTGTGTGTGTGTGTGTGGAAGCGGCGTGACGTGATCTGTGCAGGCCGATCGAATGAAAGCTAACCTAGTTGTTCTCCCTCGTGGAGCACTGAATGGCGAAAAAGAGAGAGGAAAGAGAGAGCAGGTCGGGGGTCGGTCGGTGGTCGGGACCGGTTCCATGTTGATGATACCTCGTCCAGAATCAATCAATCTCCGAACGGGCAACGGGCAACAAACAAACAATAAACGGGCGGGCGGGCGGACGGACAGCCACATGGTCGACGGCTTGTCACACCATGGTTCATTGATGATAGTCAGAACTGAGTTTGCTTGGGTCCCATATAATCTCATGTAGACAGTGCACCTGTGGGTTGCTGGAACTGGTGAGGGGAGAAAGGGTAGTCCTGAATCGGGGATGAGGGGAAGAAAGCGGTTAGTACCACGTACCCATCTGGTATAGAGGTTCCGCAAAGCACATGGCAATCTCGATTGGTGATACAATGGGCAAGCAAGAGAACTATGCTTGATCTGGCATATTCCCCCCCCCCAATCTCCAAATTGTAATGTACCCAGACTCAGATGGATGCAAGTTACCAGGATTAAAACAATTCGGCGGACCCCGAGAGGGACAATGATCATCGGAGATCAAAACCACCGATGTCATCAAGATACGAATCTACCCAAACAATTCATGCCCAGATGGGAACTTTGAAGAATGAAAGGATGTTCCTAGTCTCCTCGTGGAGTCTCAGGCATATTGCTTCGAGTGCCGCTGCCCCGCTCTGTGGAGTTCGTGGTGGTGTGTCCTTACGCTTGACCCACTAGCACTAAGCCCAAGATGAGATCGAGCGTTGAAGCGAGATAGAATGACCGTGTGCTGCTGCTCGCCTGGCTTCTCGGTATGAATTGCCAGGGCAGACTCTGAACAGCCGAGCGGAAATGGGGAAGGAGGGGGGCAATGGAGTGAAAGTTCCAAGCTGATTGTGAGGAAGATCAGCACAGCCGGTACGTCAGTCTTGTATCTTAGTGAGTGGGAAGTCCATGAGCCGACCGACTCCATCCGGATCCGAACGAGCTGGAGATGCAAGCAGATTCGATGCAGTCTGGAAGATGACCCCACCACGCACAGGTCAAAGTGGAGATCCGGCGCCCAATCTCCGGGAAGTTCTGTCTGGCCCCGATAGTGCGGTGTACAGTAGATACCGAGGTTCTGCCTCGCCCAAGTGAGGATTCCGTAGACTGTAGATTGAGATGAGTTAGACAGAGGACGAATGTACTGTAGTAGCCGCTATAGTATCGTCAGTAAGCCCAGTGTCCATGCATCGGCCGTCTAATTCGTAAGAGCACTGTGAGTACCTACATACAATGAGTACCTCGGAGTGTCAGTCACGACCATGCGGGCCCATGCAGTAGCACGAGCAGCGAAGGAGGTCGGTCCATGACGTTCTCATCACACGTTCGACGGGTGAAGTGCAGCAATCACGTACGTATCCGTGGAGTAGAGTCGTTGAGGATCGACCGCCGCCCGACCATGGTGGGCGAGATTGGCTCCAGATCCCATCTAGCCTCTAGGCCAGGTGTGGTCCTTTCTCGCTCGAACAGTGTTAACGACTCTTGACATCGGCTAGGCTACTAGGCATAGCATGATTCGGCTCAGGATTAGCCACAACGCCGTCCAAGTGCCCGAACAACAGGGCAAATAGATTAATTTCCATCTGCTGGAACAGTCAGAGTCAGAGTTAGGCGATATCCACAACAACATCGGCAACCAGAGCTCCTCATTCACATGTTCACTTCTTTTGCCCGGCCTGTCACCGCCCTTGCTGCAGGCTGTCATCAAATGTCACCTACATCATTGACCCTAATCTTGATCCCCTAGAATTTGTTGCTTATTCATAAACCAAGCAATGGCAGATCAAGTGATCAGAAGGCAGGGGCCAATACCTTATCGAATCAGAAGTTAGTTTATGATGCAGGTTAGGATTACTATGTATAGATGATCGTCTCCTTTTCGTCCGGCTGGGGAGGGGAAGATGCATATAACAAACACTTAATATTCCGGAGTAATGTGACGGGTTGGTGCCGCCCAGCCCTAATTTGACTTATGTGGCGTACTCGGAGACATGTGCAAGAGCTGGGGGGTTAAACTCTGCTAATTTAGTACAGACATCTACTAAGTAACTACTTTTGACGGATCCATGTACGTAGGCACGACGTGATGTAAGATCCAATGGGTTAATTTGAACTGAAATGGGAGATTTCGAGGCTCTACTTACTTTACAGCTCCTCACCTACTCATAGATTACCAAGTCCGAGGCCTTCCACAAGTTGGAGGCTTGGAGAAGTTAATTGCGAGTAATCTGTGTGTGCGTGCGCGAGCGAGAGTGGAAATTGGAGACTCGAACAATAATACCGCTAGTAACCACACTACTGCAGGCTTGTCAGAGGGTAAGCGTCTTCGATAGTGCATCGGCTTTTGTGCCAAACTCGGGAAGGGCCGGCCGATGCTGCAGGCGGAGCCGACGTCTGCCACGTGAAATGACTAGGGTCCAGAACTCCAGAAAGGCCGCTAGGACCGCCTCTAGTCTGCATTGGGCCTGGATCGACCGAACGCCCGCTCCAGCAGTTCTTAGCGAAAAAAAAAAGAAAAAAAAAAAAAAAAAAGCAAAGGGAGATTCTCATCGGCCGGTCGGCATTTTTTCTTTCTCGTTTAGATCAGGTCAGGTCAGGTCAGGGGGGCGCCGGGGCGGCAACTTGCAACTGCGTGTGCCGTGACTAAACCAGAACCAGGCTGAGACTTTCCGGGTCTCATACCCGCCGCCGCCGCCGTCGTCGCCCACACAACCCCTTGTTCCCATCCCACAGGTAACTTGACTATACCTTACAGGCTACTACTGTATATGCTTTCGTACACAGACCACCATCAAAGATCACACATCTTGATCGCACAGCATCGGAAAAGAAGTCAAGTCTAAGCATCAAGGTATCATTCCCACCTTTCCCTTCCAGCGATCTCATCTATAGAGCCCCGAGCAACCAGCAACCAGCAACCACGCCCCTGGCTGCCTGGCTGGTCCCGTTCGTTCCCCACGAACCCCACCGTCTCCCTAGCTGGGTTTCCTGATGACGATCTGCGCTCGACGCCTTGACTAGCCAACGTGGCGCTCGGGGGAGATGCTGGTTCTAGACAAGCTGAAAGCCGTCATTCCTGCCGGCTGCCTGAGAGTATCGGTAGATCGTTTGTTCCAGTTGGCGATACCTCCAATCACAGGCTGTCGGACCATCGATCACGAGCGTACTCGAAACTCTCCAGTGACATCTGTCAGGTCTGTCAGACTTTCGGTTTCTAGATTTCACTTTTTATATTCCCACCTCTCGGTTTGGAGCAATGAGGTTGCGATCTACGGAGTATAGTTGGAGCAAATTATACGGTAGGAGGATCAAGGGACGAAGGGAAGGAATGGGACGGCTCAAGCCGTCACACCCCAAGCCCTGGAGCATGATTTTTGCTCGCTGCATGCGGAATGGCATCCATGATCCCTACGAAGGGCACTTGCGGGTGGTCGTAGATCAGCTGGCTGCTGTGACTGTGAGGTTGCAGGAATACGAGAGATCGGAGGTCGGAGGGGGGACATGCTTGAAAAAGCAAAGAGGCATCTCCTACGGAGTAGTTAACAACAGTCGCACATTTGTGTGTTGGTGCGACAGGATCATTGAGTACTATGGAAATGTGAAAGGAATGATGGGTACTCCGTACGTACTACGCAGAAGCTAGACGCCATGCCGGGTCACTGGAACTGTGCTCGTCCCTCACTTCTAGTGCCTCAGGCACCAATGCACTCCCCCTCCCCTCTTCCCGTAAGCGAAGCTGGAAACGAAGCGAAGTCTCCCCTAACTACCGACACCCGTGGGTTGCAAATCCTGAAACCGGCGCCAATCTCTGCGCTTTGAGTTTGATCGACGACCTTACCGCCCGCCTCTCCTTGGTTCCTATACGTAGGCTCTCCAGCGACGGGGCTAGAAACTGGACATCATGGATCTGGGCCCCGGAATAAATGAAACAGGCGAGGGAAACTCCGTCAGTGGCTGATGGGTACCACTGTCGCTGGTCGGTGGTTTGCTCTTGGCTATCAAGTAAACTTCCAAAGCACTCAACTTGAGTTCCGGATGCCATGGTTATAGTGATGCCGGCTATTATTGTAAGCGACACTGGTCGGGAGGGAATCAATGGTTGTGGAATAATGGTACTGAGTAAGACACTACTGGTACAGCAGCAGAATGTCTGGGATAGAAGCTAAACAATACTGACTCGTGGCTATTGTTGAATGAACCGTCTCTCCGGGCAAAGATGGCCCGATTGACCAGTGCGAATCATTCCATCATGGTTACTATTATTAAAGAAAGGTAATCAACTAGTTGTCAGGGGAGGGCGCCACAAGTATCGATACCCGCCACTAAGCAGCATGCAGTAGTATTCCCGGCGACTATGTAATCTGGGATTGTCGCTCTGAGCGGTCAAAGCTGGGAGCGTTGGAGAGCGTTGGGATGATCGGCGCGCGCATCATTGTCAATCTCCATCAAGCTGATCTCGGGATATCTCCGTCGGGTGGCCGAAAACACTACCATTGCCGAAGACACACTGGCTGAATCATCCCTTACAAACTCACAAACAATGAAACGAACGCTAGGAGCCAAACTGCACTATGGGTTTGGTTTGGAAAGCAAACCCACATAGCAACGAGAACACACCCGCGGAAACAAGCATCCCACCCCGAATGCATCACATCTGATTCAGTTGTTCTTCCGAGGCTGTCACTTGCGACTCCGGCAAGCTTGACGCGGGACGAGTTGTTATGCACATACGCGTTTCACGGCAGGGGGAAAGGGGAGTAAGCCTATTTTTCAGTCGGAACTTTAGGGAATGGTGGGCTGCAATAATAAAGTAACATCTGTTGCTTGCACAGCATGTGTCGTGGAAAGTGCCTCAAAAGAGCAGTTTCCACGTTATTACGCATCAATTGGAAGGGGGTTCCTGTGTGCCTGCAGTTGTTAACAAACTTCAGGCAACCAACCCGCTCACTCAGAGTTTCCTGGGCACCAAAATTGTCCCGCATGTTTGACGCGGGTTGGGGCTATGCGGAATCTGCCGAACCCTCCTTCTTGCCCCTTTTTCTTTTTGGGTTTGAGAACAGCCTCGCGGCGGATGCTGCATGCTGAGTAACTGGAGAACATCAGTTCATCAGTTTCGTCGAGATATCCCAGATCAGGTAGGTCCCCTATCTTTGGTCCGAGATGCTTGGGTTTAAGCTCAGATGATTAACACGTCCCACGCGCTTAAGTAAAGGCTATCTTCTGTAACCTTACCCTTAGGCCCTTGGGGGTGAGTTCAAATCGCCCGTGGGTTCATCTATCCATATACGGAGGCTGAGACGAGTAGGTAGGTAGCAGTAGAAGGTCATCGATCACATCCTCAAGAAGGTGACGACCGGGTGTAGCCGCATGGTCGCTGGTTATACTTCGCACACGAGAACTAAACTAAGCAACTATTGAGCACAAATTACATAGTATGTATCCGAGTTTAGCAACCGGAACGACTCTTCTGCCCGCACCCACTCTCCAAGCCGTCCAGCGTTGTTCTGGAATCGCTCTCGCATTCTCTTTCTCTCTCTCTCTCGGAGCCGGCCGATGCTATGCAAATTGAGTTTGGAGTTTGATCGTCTCCCTCTCAGTATTCCAGGTTTCGTGCATCCACACTCTATACAATACATATGCCCCCAAAGCTTCATCTAACTTGAACGGAAGCGGTGCCAATTCTGGGATGGCATCGTTTGAAAATGTTTCATGGGTGTATATCGGCTGGAGAGAGAAGAGGGTTAACGCCCACGCTCGAAGACATTCTAGGGCGGATCAAGCTTGTGAGCCGAGGTCGGGAGCCGACGACCGAGCATTCAGTGAGTGACTGACTGAGTGCGTGCGTGGTCAGTACTTCGTGGTCCAGGACGAAACATGTGGTTGGAACACACCTCCCTCTTCATCGCAATAGCTCTGCAGCTTGCTCAAGTGCCCCGAATGCGTAGGTCAAATCGGGCACGACACTGGGGCTCCGAGGCCGTGGGACGGGGAATGAGGACTCAAGATCGGAAACTAGCTGCCTGGAGGGCGATGGGAGGCCCATTTTTCGCCCATCGAATAAGGCTGGAAAGCACATGGGAGAAAATGGAGACGAACAGTGAGACTAAGCTCTATGAGTGATAGCAATTCTTGCACTGCACTGATTTCAATGCGTCGCGCAAGAGCCGACGGGGCCCGCGGATTGCTGCGGATCCCACAGAGTGAACCGGCGGGTGAGCTTCGCTTCGCCGACTCCACGAGACCAGCCTTCCACTAGACTAGCTAGACTGCTACTCCGTACTGAGAGCCGTCTTCTTCTTCCCTCGTCTATTAAAGTTTGGGACCACTGGGGAATTCGCACATGGATATGGGTCTCTTGGGTCTCTTGGGTGGGCAGATTGAGCGGTCCTCGACGCGTCGACCTGGGCCTCATAATCCATTCTTCTTAGTGTCCCACAATTATAATCCCCTCAGCAGCAGCAGTGGCATTAGGGACACCATCATCATTAACGTCATCACCACCACCACTACCACCACTACCAACATCACCAACATCACCACACGAGCTCGGCAGCGTGGTGTCCGTATAGAGAATAGATCCGGATATGTTCGTCTATTGGAGACGATCATCCTTGAGAGTACTCAGTAATCTTGCAGCATCGCTATGTGCCCTGTCGAGGAACCTGTTCATCTCTGGCACCTGGGAGTTTATTGGTTGATTAATGATGATGTAATTCGGCGTCGCCGACGGTTGGCATGGATTAGCATGGATTAGCATGGTTGGCATGTTCTACTGAGTATCACTTGTCGAGGATCCCCCTGCTTTGGATGGAATGGACTGTGCCATTGTGATGCAGGTTGTTTCCAACAAGGAGCTTGGCAATGAGTTACCCGGACGGGATCATTACCTCATTCGATCGCCAGACGCCAGACAAACAACAGACAAGGCCTGAGGCTGTGTGTGGTCTTCGCCCCTCAGAGACCGCCGCGTTCAGGTACGTATGCAGTAATCGGCTGGGGCGGTGTGACCCGCCACTATCTGATGATCTTCCTTCCTTCTTCCGACCCATCACTGCATCATTGCAACCCTTTGGAGACAAGGCGTGCCACGCATGCTTGCCTGAATCTGCGTGTATGAACCAGGGGTTGAAAAGAACAAACTTCGAAAGGTCAGATGCTCAAGCATGAGACAATTCGTCTGACAGACTGATCTCAAAAAAAAGCCAAAAGGGCAAGTCTCGTAATGTACTACAGCTACAGCACCGCTGCTGCTGCTGCTGCTGCACTGATGATCATCGGGTAGTTTGTGGTGTCCACCTCGTCTCTGTAACCCTTTCCGGATTCGCATTCCATGGCCGGCCGAGGTATTTTGTCTCGTGCACAGGCAGGTACCGACCACTAAAGCAACCCAGTCATCAACCAAGGGATCTCCCGGAGCCAGTTCTTGTCTATTCTTATTCGGGCTTGGACCTTTCTCTTCTGACCGCGGAAAAGCTGCGTTTATGCGTTTACATCAGCTGTCGGTCGCCTTCTGGCTCGAACTCGTACTGTCGACGACGAGTTCGACCCAGTAAATCCCACCGCGGTCGATCCTAATCCCAAAGGCGATTGACAGCGAATTCCCCCCTCATCGGCATTTACAATCGGGTCGGGCCTGGATATGGACAGCATACACTAGCCGCGCATGCGAAACAAAAAAGTTTGAGACGGATACTCCCTACATACATTCAGTGTACGGTGTACGGCTAGAAGAACTGGGCACTGGACATGTTTCGTTGTCGACGTCATTGATCAGACGCAAAATACTTGTATAGTCGAGTCAGAGGTGATAAATCACGGAGGGGCTTTGGTCTGTGTCTTCAAGGTTACTTCCATCAAGCCCACAGGAAGAGACGTCTTAGTCATGGACGGATTACATGCACACTCCCATTATGCATAAGCTATCCATGCATTCCGCCTGTTCCTCGCCTTGCAGTTGGTAGGTCAACTTGACTTACTTCTCTGCACAGGCCACCCAGTGCCCAAAATTCAAGCGATATACCGGTCGCAAATAAGCAAACAGAGTCCATCCATCACACGGACGAACATTTAACCCTAACGCTTAGTTAGTCAGCCACCTCCTGGGTCAGGTTTCTGAGTACTCCCGTACCAGTGAGGCTTTCAGGTCTTTCGCCAATTCTTGCTTCATCTGTTTTTAAGGTTTGCTTGATGTCTCTCGTTGGCTGTCAACGCCACGATAATCTCCGGGAGGCCTCTCTCATACTAGGATGATCCCTTGGCCAATTGGCCCCCAAAGCAGGCGCAGAAAGGAAAGGAGTGGCAGACCGGCATTAGGCGTTTATTCGTCCAAATTTTCCCAAGATTCCCTTGTAGGCAGCCTGGCCTAGCTGTTTGTGGCTTAGGGGAGCGCTCCCAAACCAAGACCTGCCATCTGCGCATCGTGCCGCAACTCCGTCATCCGGCCCCAAGGGCTTGGTTTGTGGATGGACGCAAATCACGGACTCATTACCCTTTTAGAATTGTGTCGATTCAGTCACCTTGGTCAGTAATCTCACTCTGCCCATCTTGAGATCCATCCTCCGATCTACAGCCCTGCTTTCGGCGCAGATGCGCCTATTTTGGGGTGGTGGCAGGTTCTCCCAAACCGCCCCCCCCCCCTTTTTTTTTATGAAGGGTGAATGAAGGTCGGTCCCGTAGTTTTGCACTGATGAAATGATATCTTTCCTGGGGAATGGACCAGTTTCCCGCTAGAAGCTAGAGAGAACGGATCGAACTCGAGATCAACCAGGGTTGGCATGGGACCCAGGACACACTGTGTTCCCCGGACTGGTTGGTGATTTCGACTACAGCAGCTAGCAATATCTCGTCTCTGTTGAAGTCATGACTGTATTCAAGGTTGATTGATGGGTTTGTGTACCTGGAAAGGGTTGGCATTTCTCGGGCGGCAAATGTTCCTCCACTGATCTACGACCGCAGGCCCCTCCGAGAGACAAAGGGACCGACCGATCTACAGACGAATAATGACGATGAAGATGATGAAGAAGGCGATGATGATACATAGTACATAATTCAAGGTGGGAAGTTGGTCTTGGAAGATGAGATCAGGTTCTCAAGCGATGTGTGTGATCGTGCGGCAACGATCAGCCGTTTATGGGGCATGGGATCGTTGTGACAGGTAAAACCTGGACGGAGGCTAGCCATTTTCTCTCTTGTCTCCTTGGGTCTTTTTTCCTTTTTTATTATAATGATGATTATTATGAATCCTCCAAACGATCGGCTGGTAAGAGGGGCCCTTTCTGTCGAATCTGGCCATTACCGCGATAATACCCGGTGGGTAATAGGCATGGGATCCATGGGGGAGGGGGGTTAGGAGGGCGCCGGCTCGTCTCCCCCCCCCCCTCCCTTCCTTCTCTTCTCTCACTCTCCCACTCTCCCCATGATGGATGATGATCGATGATTGATTCCTGGCGGGCGCATGATGGAGAAGGAAAGGTGTCCGTGGATCTGCACTAGCGCCAGACTTACTGTAGCCGAGCCCCGAAAGTACCGTTGGTTTTCCATCGGCCGATCTGTCGGCCTCCGTACGACGCAGTTACGTACGCCTGCTTGGTCTTTTCAGAGGAGCGCTGGCTGGGCAATTTATTTTCCCTTTTTCTTATTTCCCCCGTATTATTATTATTGTACTCTCTATATTGCTCCGTCGACGAACGGAGGTGTTTCCCACTTTCATACAGACATCCCACTAGCTTATAGTTGGACGGAAGAATAACAGGTAGAAATGTCTCCGACGTTGAATCCTTTTTCATCTTGCTTCAATTGATGTCATGGGTCTCAGGTCCAGGGTTTCTCTGATTCAGCGAGCAATGGAAGAGGCTTCTTCCGACAGTAGTAGTGCTGTCGCTGTCTTCCAAAGTTCTGGTCTTTTTTAGTCTTTCCTGATATTTGGTAACCCGTTAATTTGACCCAGGGTACAGTACATACGGCTGCCCATCGTACGGGTGTGGATAGGCGGAGGAGGCGCACGTTTTTTTAGCTCTCGTCGAGCCTACCCAAAACGATAAGCTAATGGCAAATCATCCTTTTTAGTCGCGTAGCTAGCTACTGTACGGTATGCGAAGGAGGAGGAGGAGGAGGAGGAGGAGGAGGAGGGGAGGAGAGGGGACTCCAGTATAGGCGTGGGGACAACACATGCGTTACGGTACCGGTCCCAGCAAAGACAATCATAAATCAAGGGCGATTTTTCCCCTCGGAATTTATTACGTCGCTTATCGAATCAGACGCGGCCAAAATAATTAAACGAAAGGACCGGAGAACCATCAGCGCAAGTCATCGCGTGTACTCCGTACCGGGTCAGTGGTCATTAATTAAGCTTTGAGACGGTGGTATCAACCCTTGTCGAAGCGAATCGAGGATGACCGACGATGGATTTTCCTTGTGGCTAGAGTACTAGGTAGTTAGTCAGTGGCCACTGCGGGCTTTCGGGGGGAAATTCATGTACGTACTGTTACAGTTTAGTGGTTGTAAGCAGCATTAGCAACAGCAGCAGCAGCAGCAGCGAAGCGCGGGAAAATAAGGAATGTAGCCTATAGTAAATTATACTTTGTGTCGGTAGTCTATGTAGTTACATGATGTTGTGTGTGTGTGTGTGCGCGCGTATGTGTGTAGGACTGAGTGTTCTGTCCCTGGCCAGGCACAAATTTTTTGCTATTTTATTTTATTTGTTTCTCTATCCTTTCAGTTGAGTTGCATTATTTTCAACGAATAAATCCAAATAGGGGAGGTTCGCGGCGGCGGCCTCTCCCGCTTTTCTCCTTCTTTTCAGTTTCTCGGCTCCATCTTCAACGCACACACTGTCTTTCCCTCTCTCTCGCTCGCTCTCTTCCTTTCTAACTCTTTTTGTGGTTCCACTCGTCGTCTAACGCTACGGCCGGAGTTTACCAGCGCTATAATTAACATTTGATTGATGTGCAATTTTTAATAAAATACCTAGTATTATTTTTTCATTCTTGACTAGGATGGAAGTCCACCTTTCATCCCACATCCCCTCCACTTCCCTCCACTTCCCTCCACCTCCCCATCTCCCCCTCCTCCTCCCCCCCCCATCTCCATCCTTTCCTCCCCGATAAAAAAAAAATAAAAAAAAAAGAATAAAAAAGCCCAAAAAAAACAAAAAACAAAATCAATTCTTTTTTCTCGAAAATAATTCCATGATTGTCAACCCTGCATCTCCACCATCGCTCTGGGTCTATAA